AGCCTGAAGGTTTATGATTTATGATTATAAATGGCACATATTGATAAACCAAATATAGTTAATGTACCTGCAAATGAATTTTTACTTCACATTCATGAGATGAAGAACCAACTTGGGAGTTGCCCGTAACAACCAAATAAAAGAACGATTAGAATAGCAGAAACTAGGAAAAATCAACTAGCTTATATATAAATAATAAATTATAGGCTAAGTCTTCTTTATTGCGTTGGATTGAATGAAGTGTGAGTCCACCAAGCCTCTCAACAGCAAGAAGGAAACCAGAAGGAGATCAGGAGTTCAACGAAGCCTCGGCATTTTGGACCTCACGTATTATATCGCCTGACACTGTTGTTTTGAATTCACAAATAGAATTTGTGATTCATAAAAGTATGTCCAATAAAATGAGGAAGAAATGCATCTCCATACTGTTCTACCCCTTCCAAGCTCATGTTATCATGAGAAAAGATGAGAAAATAGTTCTCCACCCCTTTGCTGATGCTATCCTTGGCAGGAGAGAGAAGTAAGAGAGAGAAAAATGGGAGGGAAAGGGAAAAGTGAAGGAAAACAATATTTTTTCTTGCTTGGCTGTGGAGGGGAGATAAAAAGGGGAAGAAAATAACATGTGAGACCTACATATTTTTACTTCTAACTTTTTCTCCAAATATAGGGAGGTTTTGGAGAGAAAATTTTATTTAATTTTTAAATTTATCCACCAATTTTTTCCCTGCCACCTCTTATTTCTCTCCATTTTTATTATGATATTTGTAGTGTAGTTATGTTTTGATCATAATCTTTTATTAAACAAGTAGTATATTTAATTTTTAGATTAATTAGACAAATACTAATTTTAAATTTTCAATTAAATTCCTTATATTTTGGTGTAGTTTCAAATTTTAAGACTATTATATATTTAATAATTTAATGCATAATATTTTAAATAGGATAAAATAATTTTTAATTATGTTCTTCTTCAATCAATAACATATGATAGAAATTATTATATAAATAATATGTTAAATTATTAAATTTATTATATAAATAATAAGTTATTATTTTCTATATAAAATTAATAATTTTTCTCTTATTTATGTTTTATCTTGCCCAGCCAAGTATAATGAGAAAAAATTGCATCCCTTTACTTTTCTGTTCTCTTTATTTTCTCTCATTTCATTTTCTTTCCTTTCTATTTCCCTCTGCGAGTCAAGCATAGCATGAGTGAACTCTGTTATTTGTTTCTCAAAACCCTATCCTTTTCTCCTCTCTTTCTTTTCTCTTGCCTCCTCCTCTTCTATTTGACGACCAAGGTCAAATCTCCCATATAATGTCATAACCCTAAAATCCCTAATTCGATTACAAGACCGTTAACCCAAAAAAGATCTCTTGATAATAAATTAAAATCCCAAATTTAAGGAGGAGAGAATGAAACCTTCCTACCACATCTCTTGACAATTATGATAGAATTTATTTTTCTTTCCTAACACAAGTGCAAAATAAGTCTATGAAAGCACTTATTTTTGGAACGCTCCTTTATCCAATACTCTTGTATATACTAGAGCGCTTTTAAAAGCGCTCCCGTGTGTGTGACATAGGGGAGCACTTTTTATTAAGCACTCCCGTAGACATTGAAAAAAAGTGCTCCTATAATTGATTATATGGGCTTGTTGGAGTGCTCATTAAGTGAGCGCTCTCGTAGGATGAGGCTAAGAGGAGCACTCTATAGCAATGTTTTTAAAACTGGACTGAATATTGAACCGAAAAATTTAGCGATTCACGGTTCGCATGGTTTAACTGAGTTGGACTAATGGTCAAATCAGTGACATAATTATTAAATTAAAAAAATTATATATGTATATAATAATCTAAATATAAGAAATATATATGAAATTGCTATTTAACTTAAAAAAATCAAATATTTTAAGTTTATCATGACTTAACAAGCCACATAATACAACATAATATCAAATGATTAAAAAAATTAGTCATTTTTTAAAAAAATTTGATAAAAAATAAAAAAGTTTTTTTTGAACAATCTTGATTTTAAAAACCAGATTCGGTTCTCAGCTTGATTTCTATTCTCGGTCCAACCGTTGGTTCGAAACAGCTCAACCTGACTCAACCCCTAAAATGATTTTCTCATATAAACCAGACCAAAAACCATACTGATCGACGGTCGGACTGGTTCGACTGTCCAGTCCGGTTTTCAAAACACTGCTCTATAGTAAGCACTCTTGTAGACCTCATACATGAGCACCCTTGCAGGATACACATATGGGAGTGCTTTATTGCAAAGCGCTCTTGTATGTTGAACCATTTTGGAGCAGTCACGACATAGCGCTCCCATATGTAATATTTTGTTTTGGTAATTAAAATTTTCTTAAACTACATCCTTTGTATCTCTTAAAAATGACTAATCTCAATATTCAAAAACAAAATTATTGAACATAACAATTTGTATACAATGAAAGAACTTGCAAATAAAACAACATAGCTATTTATATTTCCTAACTTGTCTAATCTTTAGCAAGTCTAACAAATGAAACCATTGGTATTTTTCTAACATTGAAAGCTAGTTATCTATCACAAATAACCAATAATATATTCTGACAACTCTTCAACTATATCTTCTATTTGCTTCAAGATAAAATGCAATATTCTTGCTTCTACAAAATACTACATGAGAAATGAAAGTTTTATATAAGTAATTAACATTATATTAATTTAATTTAAAATAATTGACTTACATTTTCAAGAATGATCAACTTTTATTGTGTGATTATTTCTCTCATAAACTTCATCATATAGTATCCACACTCTTAACCTTCAACTTGTGTTGTTACCTATAAAATAATAAAAAATGTTATTATCCAAATATGATAGAAACAAATTTCACAACTTAATTACTAACACTTTGGGGATGAAATTATATCTACCCTTCTCTAGGTGGCCATTGAAGGCCTTCTTTAACTACTAGTAATGATGTGTTTGTGGCAAAAATCGATGATGACCAATGAAGACATTCTTCCTATAATGTTCCAATCGTATCGAACAATTGTACTTCTCACAAACTGGGCACACATCTCACCCTTTTATACTGCACCTTGACAAATTGCCATAAGCAGGAAAGTTATTTATGGTGCCAAACAATATTACTTGCAGGATGAAATATTCTTCCCTATATCCATCATAAACCTCCATAATTGTCTCCCATACTATCTTCAGATCTTTAATTAACGGAGTTAAGTACGCATCTATATCATTTCTTGGTTGTCGGGGCCTAGAAATTAATAATGATAGCATTATAAACTTACACTTCATGCATAATCCTAGAGGGAGGTCATTGATCATTAAAATCACTGATTATGTACTATGAGTACTACTTTGCACATTGATAAATAGCAATTTTATATATTTTTATTCTTTTAATTTAGACTTTTAAATATTTATTTGAGGTTAATTGAGTTTAATAAGATATTATTTGATTTTATTAGCCAATATTTAGTTTTAAAAATTTAACTATCTAAATTTATGATTTTAAAATATAAATGATATCTTTAATATTTGTGCACAGGTGCTATTTAATTTTCTTTTATTTGTATAGATTTTTAGATTTAACTTGGAAGATATTGATAGAAATTATTTTGGATAAGAAGAATATGGACATGCTTGGAGATCAAATCAAGAATTAAATCTTTTCAATTTTTGTTTAAATTTATTTTGGGTTATTGAGTGTAGTTTTCAATTAGGGTTATTTAGAGTAGTTTTATCATTTTATTATTAGCTTTTCTTTGGCTGTACGGAATTGCATCACTTTTGTATATAAAAAAGAAGCAACGCACATAATGACAGAGTTAGTTCAAAATAGAGCCTACGAACATGATAGCTCTTCAAGCGATGGCTTCTCTTTTTCTCGCAGTATGCTATTTGATTTTTAATTCTATAAAGAGTTAAATTTTTAGTGTGATCAATCATAAACTATGATCTTAAATTTTAATCAGAGTCTTTAATATTCAGGAAAGATTTTATTTTAGCTTTATTCCAATTTTTTCTTCTTCTCTCTACCTCTTAATTTTTTGTTTTAATTGTTATTGCTGATTAGAACAGCTTTATTGCATAATTTTTGGGTTATAAATTTTATCCAAGGTTTTACTTGCTATAATCAATTGATATTGCAACTTAAGAGTAATTTGGCATGGTTTAAATGATTACTCATGCTTGTTTTTGGTGTGGCTATAAAACAGTTGTTAGGTTGTGGGTTAAGGGATATTTTAATTAATCTATAACTTAATTTCTTGTTTAATTCTTGAATGATAATTTGAGAAATATATAATAAAATTAGAATAATAAAGTTAAATAAAATTAATTTAATTTGTGGATGAGGAAGATTAAGTTTAGGTGATTGGGTTGTAATTAATTATGCTGCTTGTGCTGGGTAATTTTTATAGTTAAATTTCCTCTATTTATTTATTTCTAATTTAATTTTTAATTTCATCACACAAAAAACCCCTCACTTTTTAGCTTTTTATAATCATAATTCAAATAGTTTCTCTATTGACTCTTAGGGAGACGACCTAGATTGTGCTTTACTATAAAATCTAATTTTTTTATTAATTTTGGTGCTATTTGACAGTAGTGTCAAAATTTTGGTGTTGTTGTCGAGGAGTTAAAGATTTTCATTTTTTGAGTTCGGTTGTTAGTTTTTTTTCTTTTTCATTATTTTTATTTTTTATTTTCTAGTATTTTTTTCATATTTATTATTTTTTATCTTTACTTGTTTTAGGTGTGTTTCATTGTTTTTCTGGTTTATTAGTGCATGACAAGATCTTTGCAAGATAAATTAATTGATTTGAACTCTGAGACTGAGAGAACCTGTCGTAATAACCGTATGAATCAAAAACACCATAAATTAAGGATAGCGTGATTTCTAAAATTTTGTTTGAATTGATTAATAGTGTTATTAGTAATTTTGAATTTGACTTTAACTCTACAGTTAAGTTGGAAATATGGCAGAAAATAATAATGGTAATAGGATAATTAAAGAATTGGTTATTCTTAATGTGCACTATCAAAATTTGTGCATTTAATATCCGAATTTAGATGCAAATGCTAGTTTTGAATTGAAATCTGGTTTAGTGCATTTGCTACCTAAATTTCATGGTCTTGCAGGAGAGGACCCAAACAGGAACTTTAAGGAATTTCATATTGTGTGCTCCACCATGAAGCCTCAAGGAGTTTCAGAACAGCAAATCAAATTGAGGGCTTTTCCTTTTTCATTGGATGAAGTGGCAAAAGATTGGTTATATTACTTGCAACCAGGTGCCATTACCTCTTGGGATCAAATGACACAGTTATTCTTGAAAAAATTCTTCCCTGTCTCTCACAAAATAGAAATTAAAAAGATATTTGTAAGATTCGTCAAATGACTGGGGAGACATTTCATGAATATTAGGAGAGATTTAAGAAATTATGCACAAGCTGCCCTCACCATTAAATACTTGATCAGCAGCTGGTTTAACATTTTTATGAAGGTCTCTTACTAACATATGGGTGATTTGTTGATGCTGCAACTAGTGGTGCTTTAGTAGAACTTACTCCAACTGATGCCATGAATCTCATCTCTAAGATGGCACAGAATTTTCAACAACTTGGGACGTGAGCTAACCAAGCAGTCAAAAGGGTGAATGAAATTCAAACACCACAATATGATCCTAAATTTGAGAACAAGATAGAAGAGCTCTCTAACATGGTTAGGCACATTGCCTTAACACAACAAAAATTAATAAATTTACCAGTAGTGCCAACTTTTCCACAGGCGTATCCTTCACAGACGTGTGCACAACCTCAGCTTTATAATCTTCAGCAAGCTACTACATCTTCTGCTTTAGTTGGGCCTCTATATGGCATCTGTTGTTTGGCCATACACACTACTGATCAATGCCTAGTGTTGATTGACAGAGTTGAGAATTGTGCTGGAATTTTTCCACCTAGACTTATGCAACAAGGCCAAAAATATGATCCTTTCTCTAACACTTATAATCCAGGGAGGAGAGATAACCCTAATTTCAGATATGGAGGAAGTCAACAACAACAATATAATGCTACAGGTTAAAATTCGCAGCCTATGCAACTAATGAGGCAATCTACTCTTATTCAAGAGTCTATAAATGATGGACCAAGTCTAGAACAATTAATGAAGCAAATGGTAACTAATAACATCCAATTTTAACAATGTATTGAGACAGTCATTCAACAATTAGAGAATCAAATTAGGCAATTATCTACTTCCATTAATGAATTGAAGAATCAAGGTTCTAGAAAGTTTCCTTCTCAAACAGTTGTGAATCCAAATTGCAGTAATGTTAGTGCCATCACTCTTAGAAGTGGAAAGGAACTTCCAGAGCCTACTACAATATCTACCAAGGATAAGTTAGCTGTAGTAAAAACACAAGTTGCATTTGAGGAGTCTAATGAAGAAAAGGAACAAACGAAGATCTTTCCATTTCTAAATAGGAAGGCTCTAAGAAAGAAGTTAAAGGAAGCTGAATTGGAGAAAGAAGTACTTGATGTTTTCAAAAAGGTTGAAGTCAATATTCCCCTTTTGGAGGCAGTAAATCCTAAATGTGCAAAGTTCTTGAAAGACCTATGCACAAACAAGAGAAGATTAGAAGCTAATGAGAATGTCAATCTAAGAAGAAGTGTATCAGCTTTATTCCATGGAGAAATACAGTGCCAACCCCATATGCCTTTAAAATGTAAAGATCTAGGGAGTTTCACTATACCTTGTACTATAGGAAATTTAGAATTTTCTAATGTTTTGATTGATCTTGGTGCAGTAATAAATGTTATGCCTAAGTCTCTATTTTCTTCTTTACAGGGTTGTGAGATGAAGCCAGCTAGGATGATTGTGCAACTAGTAGACATGAGACTTGCCTAACCTAATGGTATGCTCGAAGATATTCTAGTAAAGGTAAAGGATTTAGTCTTCCCTGCTGATTTTTATATTTTGAATATGGGTAAAGATGATAGTCATGGGCCGCTGCCACTAATTTTGGGTAGGCCATTTCTTAAAACAGCTAATACTATCATCAATATTAAAGATAGTACTCTCTCTATGGAATTTGTAGGACGTGCTGTTCAATTCAATCTCTTAAAGGATATGAAATATTCTATAGAGGATCATTCTATTATTAATGTGAGCATGCTTAATATGTTAGTTGATGATACATGTGATGAGCCTTGGGATAATTTGACTGCTGAGTTGCCTAATGTGGTGAATTATGAAAACATTATGCATTGTACATTTGATTGCTTTCATAACTGTGTTACTTGTGTTGAAATAGATAAATTCATAAAATTTGATGATTCTTTGGATCCTCTTGTTTGCATTAACTCTATTAAGCCTGATGATCCACTTGACTGTATTGATTCTATTGAGGCTATTAGCCTATCTATTTGTGTTGAACCTCCTGATTATGATGATATTTGTGAGACCATACAGTCGATTGGTTTCTTAAATAGCATTGATTTTGTGATCCCTATAACCTTTTGTGATGGTATTGATAATACCAAGATCATGGGATTATTAATTATGTTATGCATTCTGACTCTAATAGTCCTTGTGTGGAGGATTTTGTTGTTTTTGTTGAGTTTCATGAGCAAATACTTGTGATTAAGAAAATTCTTTCTACTACAATGAGGCCATCTTCAATGGAGATATTATCATGCAACCTTTAACTAGATAAAGGAAAGCCATTGCCTGAAGGAGCTTTTGATAAGCTTAGAGAGAAAAATGTTTTGAACAAGCATCTATTCTCCATTAGAGATGAGAATTTTAACTTTAAGAGTTTACAGAGATTTAAATTATTTGGTTGTTTCTTTTCCTTTCACTTTTACCTTTCATTTTATATTTTATTTTTGGATTGATTGAATTATTCTAAATTCAGTTGCATTGAGGAAAATGCAAGATTTAAGTGTGGGAGAAGGAATTTGTCTTTATTTTAAAAAGTTTTTTTTAAAAAAAGTTGGTGTTTTCTTGCTTTTTCTTAAATACTTTTAGTGTCTTTTTTGTGTGTGTGAAGTTGCGAGTTTAAGATAATTTTAGTTTGGATGCATTTGAGCATGATAAGTAATTGATCTTATATTTGAAATTCAAGTTAAGTGGCGATAAATTTGGTTTCAATGGATTAATGTGATAGTCTTTAGTTTGTAAGAATTTAGGCCTAATATTATTCTCTTCTTGTCTGTATTCTCCTATCATCACTCTTACTCTAGAACTTGTCTTAATTCTTAGTTGAGACTATAATTGCATATGTTTCGCATGAAGATGATTTAGGCATTTTTTTCTTTTAACCTACTTAGCCAAATAGCCATCCTATGCAATTTATCCCTTGTTAGCCCCTTTGAGCCTAGACTTTTTTTTTTAAATTTTAGCCAACTAAAAACATAGCCTATAAAAATCTTTTCCCTTCATTTTTCTCACCCCACTTTAGGTGATAAAAAATGTATCATTATATTTGTTAGAATGAAAAGATATGCTTGAAAAGAGATTTGGGTTATTTTGAAATAAAAAGAGAGAGAGAGAGCCAAAAAGCAAAGAGAGAAAAAGGAAGGAAGGAAGAAAAAAGAAAAGAAAAGAAAGAGCATAAAAGGAAAAAGAAAAAGAATAGAGAAAAAATTTGCTTGAAGCAAAGAAAAGAAAAGTAGAAAAAAAAAGAGAGAGAAATAAACCCAAATCAATTATTTTGTTTCTTTTATTCTATATGTTTCATTTTAAATATGCTTTTCATTATCCTAAAGTTTATTAGCCTTCATTTTCTTATTTTTATATTATACCTTTACCTGAGCCCCATTATAACCTAGACTAAAATCTTTTTGATTCTTACATTGCATATGACATAGATAGTAGAGATCTAGATGATAAACAAGCCTATGGTAGTGAGAAACTTGAGTGAAACACTTACCTATATACATTTGAGAGTTGAGAGTTTAACACTTGACTTTTGTGAGGGGCTATTACTTGATTTATTCTTACCAAATGAAATTGCCATGATACTTGTTATTATGGATATAAGATATATTGATTAGAGTGTTAAAATATTGAAGAGTTATGATTGTTTCTTATTCTTTGTTGCTTCCACATTTCTTTTCTTGAAATTTAAGATTTAACTTTTGCCCAGGAGTGCAAAAGTTTAAGTGTAGGGGAATTGATAAATAGCAATTTTATATATTTTTATCTTTTTAATTTAGATTTTTAAATATTTATTTGAGGCTAATTGAGTTTAATTAGATATTATTTGATTTTATTAGCCAATATTCAATTTTGAAATTTTAACTATCTAAATTTATGATTTTAAAATATAAATGATATCTTTAATATTTGTGCACATGTGCTATTTAATTTTGTTTTATTTGTATAGATTTTCTAGATTCAATTTGAAAGATATTAATAGAAATTATTTTGGATAAAAATAATATGGGCATGCTTGGAGATCAAATCAAAAATTAAATGTTTAAAATTTTGTTTAAATTTATTTTGGGTTATTTAGTGTAGTTTTCAATTAGGGTTATTTAGAGTAATTTTATCATTTTATTACTAGTTTTCTTTGATCGTACGGAATTGCATCACTTTTGTATATAAAAAGGAAGCAGCGCACAAAACGAAAAAGAAGAACGGAGTTAGCACAGAACAGAGCCTACGGACGCGATAGCTCTTCAAGCGATGACTTCTCATTTTCTCGCAATATGCTATTTGATTTTTAATTCTATAAAGAGTTAAATTTTTAGTGTGATCAATCATAAACTATGATCCTAAATTTTAATCAGAGTCTTTAATATTCAGAAAAGATTTTATTTTAGCTTTATTCCAATTTTCTCTTCTTCTCTCTACCTCTCAATTTTTTGTTTTAACTGCTATTGTTGATTAGAGTAGCTTTATTGCATAATTTTTGGGTTATAAATTTTATCCGAGATTTTGCTTGTTATAATCAATTGATATAGCAACTTAAGAGTAATTTGGCATGGTTTGAGTGATACTCATGCTTGTTTTTGGTGTAGCTATAAAACAGTTATTAGGTTGTGAGTTAAGGGAGATTTCAATTAATTTATAATTTAATTTCTTATTTAATTCTTGAATGATAATTTGAGAAATATATAATAAAATCAGAATAATAAATTTAAATAAAATTAATTTAATTTGTGGACGAGGAAGATTAAGTTTAGGTGATTGGGTTGTAATTAATTACGCTGCTTGTGTTTGGTAATTTTTATAGTTGAATTTCCTCTATTTATTTATTTCTAATTTAGTTTTTAATTTCATCACAAGAAAGCCCCCCACTTTTTAGCTTTTCATAATTATAATTCAAATAGCTTCTCTATTGACTTTTAGGGGATGACCTAGGTTGTGCTTTGCTGTAAAATCTAGTTTTTATTAATTTTGGTGCTATTTGACAATAGTGTTAAAATTTTGACACGCCATGAGGGTTCATTCCATTAGTGGCTAATGCAAGGCGCATGTTTCTATCTTCAACCTTAAAGTCAGGGTACATAAGATCAAATTTTTTCCATTAAGGAGAATCTGCAGGGTATCATAGCTTGCCATCCTTAATTCTCTCGTTAGCATGCCATGTTAAGTGCTTAGCATCTTCTACAATGCTATATAGGCATTTGGTATGATTGGAAAATACTACGCCTTTATCAGACTACATTTATTTCTCTTGTATCATAAGGCGTCGCATTTTGGACACTTTTCTAAGGTTGAATACTCTTTCCTAAAGAGGATACAATCATTTGGACATGTATGTATCTTTTCATAGCTCATCCCAATAGTGTAGAGCAATTTTTTAGCTTCATAAGTATTGTGTGGAAGCTTATTGTATTCTAAAAACATCTCATACAAGAGTTCAAGTAAATTAGTGAAATTCTTATTGCTTCATCCATTAGCAGCCTTTAGGTTGTATAATTTTAGAACAATTGACAATTTTGTGAATTTCTTACAACCGAAGTATAATGGTTTATCAGTATCGCTCTTCAACCTCTCAAACATCTTAGGAAAGTCCCCATGATCCTTTTTAATTATATCAATGATCTCATCAAGATTGTCAACATCATATGTTTCATTATCATGATTAAATGTAGAGTAGCTTGCACTATCTCTCCAATCACTAGTGTTATCTCTTGTCTCCTCATGCACAGTCCAACAAGTATAAGTTGGATCAATTTCATTACATATCAAATGATCTATCAATTTTATTGGCCTTACTCTTCTTCCATAGTAACATTTTAAGCAAGGACATATGACTCTATGAGGATATTAATTACAACAAAATGCAAACTCAATAAACTCATTCACGCCATCCTAATATTCTCTAAATAGTCGATTAGCTGATATTCACTTATGATCCATATTACTAATATAGTTAAATAAATTCAAGAAAAAAACACTTAGATTTTTTTTAAAAAAATTGGCAAAGTACCCCCTAAAAGAAGAACCTTTCAAATAGTCAAATAATCAAATTCTATAGCACAATACATTTACACTAAATATATCAATTCATCCAAATTAAAATTTAGTAGCATAACACATCAAATTCAATCAATAATCTCCCTTAAAAAAAGAAACCTTCCATTTTAATTAATTAATTTACTACATTCAACTTTAAACTAAACAAAACTTAAAATAAAGGAATTTTAATAATGAAATTAACAGCCTCAAATTTAAATATAAATAATTTAAACCACATATTATCTATATATCATATCTAAATTATTTTAAAATTTATTCTAATGTTAAATATTTCAAAAAATGCCTTCGACAGCAAGCTGAACGGCGGTGCTCGCGATGCAGATCTGACTGACGGATGACGCAAAAATTTCAAACTAAAGATCTAACGGCGATGCGACACACAAAACAAAGAGCAATGGTGAAAAGAGCCAAAT